TAGTTTTTCTTCTGGTGAATTATTTGAAAGCAGGCTTTAAACAAAGCCATACCACCTAGGCAGAAATCACCTATGGATAGAAGAACATCACCCATATCAGAACATTCTTTTTACAGACCTAAAAAGTGATTGTTAATAAAACAAAATTTAAATTTTTAACTATGCCCCCAAAAGTTACTTAATCAGGGACTTCAAAAACTGTAATCACCAGATTTCTTCACTGAAAAGATAGACTTCCACTGTTAATAACTTAAAAATGGACTGGAGAGAGAATTCAGGGATAAAGGCAAAGGCCTTGCATGTAGCCAACCATGGCTTAACAGCTGGCACCACAAAGTCCCACAAGCGTCACTGGGTGCAGTCCCGGAGGGTCAAGCCTGGGTAGTCCCTGGCACTACAAGGCAGGAACATATCCTCAGACCTAGTACGGAAATCTCCACCTGACACCTGATTGACTGAGTATAAATGGGGCCCTTGTGCTCCCAGCACGATTTGGGAACCCTTTGCCCTTCAAACAACAACAACAACAACAAACAAACAAACTTAGAAGCACACCTCAAGCAATACGAATATCTATTTCCTCAACAACTTTTTCCTCAAATTTTAGAAACCCTAATAACCCTTGCCTGAACAAACTATCCAATTTTCTAATTCTATCATTCTTTTTATGTGAAAAGTTTAAAAACCCAATGTATTATAACTCATTATTGTTAACTTTTAAAAAATTTTTATTTTTCTTTTACTTAGTCACCATGAAATTATGAAATTATTCATGACTGAGTTTCAGGTATACAATGTTCCAACACCAATTCCTTCACCAGTGCCCACTTCTCTTCACCAGTGTGCTCTCACCCATTTGCTTTCCACTCTGCATTGATAAGAGGCATTCTTTTTCTCCCATGTTTTGCATTGTGGTTCACAGTACTGTTGCTCATAGGGTTTCTTACATAACACTTTACCACCTTTCAGCACCACCTCTTTCAGGCTGAACGCTCCCCTCCACCATAGATGTTGCTCCTTCCTCAAGTGGTATGTTTCTACTGAATACCAGTTCTCATGTACTTTGTTTCCATTGTTTTTGTGTATTCATTATTCGACCATTATATTTCTTTATATTCCACATTTGTGAGAAATCATGCAGTCATTAGCACTTTTTCTTTTAGCAGAACATCACATAAGTTTACTTCAGATGTAATAGTAATGCTAAAATCAACAAGTTTAATTCTTATTTGCACCAAGTAAAATTACCCATTTGATTATTTCTAAAGTTATTTCCTACAAAAACTGAGAGAGCTTCTCTTTTCTACACCATGGTTTGCCATTAGTTGTTTTTAGAGATTTTCAGATGAGTAAACGGTTTTGGGGATTATTTCAGAACTCTTTCCCCAAACGAAAACTAGTTTGGACAAATTATATCGCACAGATTTCTCTACACAATTTTTTTTCTTTAGAACTGAATGCAATTAACATAAAAATCTGCCTATTTGCCCCACAGTAAAAATGATCTGTTCTGGAAAATGTGATGGACATATCTTGTGATGTTCTAATTACTGTAATGATTTTACCTCAATAATTTTTATCACATATGAAAATATCCAGGTCAACAAGGAACATTACTTCAGTCTTTACCAACTCGTAAGCATATGTACTACTAGTACTCAGCTTCTATTTCTACATCCTCCTCCTTAATTGGATGGAATTATTTAATACAGTTTCATGTAGGGCAGTTAACCCTTTATAAACATTTACAATTTAGGTGACATTAACACTTTTTAATACTCAACTAGTCCCAGAGTTCAAAAGTGGGGACCTCCTGAAGCTTTAACCTAAGCCTTTTTGTTATAGCTGGGCACTTTCTTGCCCTCTGTTTCATCAGGATTCCCAATTCTCCATACTTTTCCCATTCCCAGACTGGAAATAGCCCTTTGTGTACCTTGTGAACAGCTTTTATGAGACATAGTTTTGCTTGCTAGTCACTTCACGCCAGTCCTCTAGGTTCGGAAGCCAGTTATTTCTGCCCCATAGGTTACCAGCCACCTCCCCTTCACCCCAAACCTCACACTTCACACCTAGGCTAAATCTATACAATTCTTCACACAAGTCTTTCGGAAATTTAGCTTTGATTTCTACTCTCCTTTTATCTTCTATATTCCAACTCAACTTATTGCTCCTACTCCATGTTCTGAATCTGGCTAGTTCTAGAGGATTTCTTTATCCAATTCCCAGGATCCAATCGCTCCACACTGATAAAAATCTCAGATGAGACATGAAAATCTGTCTCAAAATTTTGGGGTGTGTGCGTGTGTGTGTGTGAGAGAGAGAGAGAGAGAGAGAGAGAGAGAGAGAGAGAGAGAGAGAGCACACATGCATATGTGTAAGTATGTCAAGTGTCTTAATAGACCCTGATTTTATCTTCTAAGATTTTTTTTTTTTTGCTTTTTGGGTCACATCCGAAGATCCTTGGGGGACCATCCGGCGATCCTTGGGGGACCATCTGGGATGCCAGGGATCAAATTTGGGTTTGCCATGTACAAGGCAAACACCCTACCTGCTGTACTATTGCTTCAGCCCCTCAAGTTTTTTTGGTTTTGATGGCACACTTTGGTGAGGCACCTTGCAGTGTCTGGGGGCTACTTCTGGCTCCTTGCTCAGGGATCACTCTCACAAATTCACTGTATGGCCTAAGGAACCATACAGAGGTGGAGATCAAACCCAGTCCTCTTACATTCAAAGCATGTACTCGGCCCATTGAGCTACCTCGCTGGTTCCCACTCCAAGTATTTTCTACACTTCCAACTTTGTCACTCATAGTTAAGCATGCTATCAAAGTCCTGTCACCTATATTCTTTTCCCTCCAAATCTATCAGTTTATTTTTTAAAAAATCAATCCTGTTTTTTTTATCATCGCAGTACTTACATAAACATGTTTGTAGAATTGTAGAGCCATACATCAAAAAAGTAATTTTTTAAAATTTTTTGTCAAAATGTATAGAATCACACACAAAACAAAGTTTTTGTTTTGTTTTGTTTTGGAGCCATACCCAGCAATACTCAGGGGTAGCTCCTGGCTCTGCACTCAGTAATTACTCCTGGTGGTGCGCAGGAGGAGCATATGGGATGCCAGGGATCAAACCTGGGCCAAACATATTCAAGGCAAGTGTCCTATCCACAGTACCATCGCTCCAGCTCCACCAAAAAGTAATTTTTAACATACATGAATTATGCCTGGAAAAAAATTAGCATTACATTCCAAAGAGTCAACTATATTTTTCTTCCAGGTTAGGTTTCACTGTCTCATTTTGATTAACAATTTCCATGAGCTATATTGCTAGTATAGCAAATGGATTGGAGTTGTTCTAGATTTTAGATTTTTAATCACTTGAGGCCAATGCCTCCCAGGAACAGATACCTTGAGAAAGCAAAAGAATTTGGTTTACCAGGCCAGTTAACTCAATGAATATATTGCTATATTGTCAGTTACCACTAACACAAAATGCAAAGAAAAAATGATGGGCTATATAATAATTAGAACATTAAAAAAAAGTCACAGAACCTGGTTAAAAATATCAAATATTGGACCAGAGAGATCAGATAAGGGTTAAAGCACTTGCCTTGCATGTTTGATCCCTAGCACCACAAATGTTTTTTGAGCATCACCAAGAGTAAGCTCTAAGCATCATCAGGTAAGCCAACCTTCATCCCCACTGTCCCCAAATTGAATACAGACCTATCATTTTTGAGGTACGAGTGAAATTAGACCATTTTTCACCTGCAAATTTGGCAAGGAATTTTTAAAATACCCTCGTGCTGGTGAAGGACTAGTGAAATACATTCAGATAGTGTGGATGAGAGGATTAAAGAATACTCATTTTCTTGGCAATTATTCTGTGATAGGGGTCGGGGGCATGCCTAATTGCTGCTTAGGGACTCTCCGGGCTTTCTGCTTGGGAGTTGCTCCTAAAGGTACTTAGGGTGTAGGGGCCTGAAGCAGGGGCTTCCTGCATGCAATGCATGTGCCCAGCTCATTGAGCTATTTTTCTAGCCCTCTTCTTGGCAATTTGAAACTATCTAATAAGAATCTGAATTCAACTCTAATACATATATGCTGATAAAAAATCCAGAGAGAGGAGGGGAAATTTTTTTTAAAAAATTACACCAAAAATTTAGCAGTAGCAGTCATCTTGAACTCATAAAAGACAACTATTTTGCTTGAGTAATGCCATGTATGCTTAAAAAAAAAAAACTTTTCAAATTACTTCAATAAGTCCAAGTTAAGTTTTACACTTAGGATAAAAACACACATTTATAGAAACAGTGAAGGAATTCTGCTTGAGGAGACCCATCCCATAACCTAAAAGAGTTTCTCCCTTTCCTTCCCTCTTCTCCACTCTCTCCCCTCCTGTTCCTTTCCCTTCCTGTCCCAATACCTCAAAGAGCTGCAGGGCATACATTGCATGTGGGAGGCCTGGGTTCAATTCCAGGCACCACATGGTTCTCAGAGTATCACTAGGATGACCTGAGCACCGCACCTGAAGCAGCCCCTAAACATCATCACATGTAGCTCAAAATTTAAAAAAAGTGGGGATGGGGGAATAAATGGGGCTGGGAGGCAGGAAGAAAGGCTGAGGGATGCAACTCAGTTGTACGGCACATACTTTTTCCAAATATGGGTCCTAGATTCAATACCTAGAACCACCCACTCCAAAAAGGTCAAAGTAAAGAAAGAGCGGGAGTGGAGAATAAATAAAGACAGAAAAAGATGGGAAGAGGATTACAATGATCTAGGTAAAGATTTACCAGTTACAGATAGACCTTCTCAAAACAAAATGGTCTCAGGTGATTAGTTTAATAAATAACTTTTGTTCAAACAATAAACAGTATTTTCCTTGTGAAACTTCTTTTAATGGCACAGAATATTTAAATATGCAGTAATCTAGACATACTTGCACTACTATCACCTAATATTTTTCAATAGAATATTAAATATTGTAAGTCCATACCTTGAAGAACGATGTTCTGGTTTATTCCGTTCGTTGCGATCTGAGAAAAGAAAATTAGAAAAAGAATCATATATCAAAATGCTCTTTAGAAGCCCCAGAAAAGTCCTTAAGTACCAGTTGCCATACCATTAGATTTCACAAAGCACCTTCCTCAAAGTTAAGAGGATTTGTCTGACAAAGGATATAGAAAAGATACAAAGAAAGCCTACCATATTAATTTAATTCTTAAAGATCTTTGCTATTTCAATCACTTTGTTAAAACCAAAACAAATCTAGCTAAGGAAAGTAAGGAAAAACCACAAATGACTCAGCTTTAAAAAATCATTCCATGAATCACAATTGGCAAAAGCTTCTAACAAGACTGGGAGGGGGAAATGAGCGTCAGCTACACCAACATCTGTAAGTACACTATGACCAGTACAGCTTCATCCTTAACCCTCAATCACTCAGAACATTTTAGAAGTTGAATTTCAGTGTATCAAAGATAATTAAGCCTATTGTGTTACAGGGCAGTGGTTCTCAACCAGAGGATGTAAGGGCCTTATTGCCCACCCAGAGGTGTTTGGCATATCTGTAGACATTTTAGGTTATAACAATTGGGAAGGAATGAACCACTGGCATCTACTGGTTAGAGACCCAGGATACTGCTACATATTCTACAACAAAAAATTATCTTGCCCATTTTTGGGGGGTGGAGTGGGGAGGTGGGCCTGGCTTTGTGCTCAGGGATCACTCCTGGTGAGGCTTGGGAAGGACCATAAGGGATGTGGGGATTAAACCCAGGTTGGCTACATGCAAGGCAAATGCCTTGCCCGCTGTACTATCGCCCAAACCCCATCTTACCCAAATACTATGCAGTGCTGAGATTAAGCACAGAAACTTTTAAGTTTTCAAAAGGCCCTCTTTAGGCTGCTTATTTTAAGTGCTCTTAATTAACCTGGAGGCAATCACACACAGAGAAAGAACCACAACACAAAGACTGTCTTTTTTGACTTGGGGTAGATTTTTTTTAATCTATACTTAAAAATAACAATAAAGTCAAAAGGCTCAGAATTATGAAAATACAGAAAGCTAGTAAGTAAACCACAATAAAAACCCATGTGATGACATTTTAAAACTATGCTATGTTATCAACATATAGGTTTCTAAAGTAACTTTTGAATACTATCAAAAAAGTGAAGCAGATTAGACAGGAATTTCTTTTTCCCTTTTAATTTTATTCATGGTAGAGCAGCATAAAAATCATAAAAATGTACTTTAGAACTTCTACAATTAAGAATTAAGGAAGAAAAGGAATGGGATTTATATCATCAAATGTATATACCAATTCTCTTAAGGATAAACAAGTAAGAAGGGTCACAATAAAGCATGTTTACTTAGAACAACTGCTCTCCAAAACTGCTCAACATTAAACAGCTTCTTGTTCCAATTTCTCCGTGCTGTGACTCACTGTTACGGTCCCTTTAAAAATTCTTGCTTATTTTACCCTTCCTTTAAATAAAAATACCATTTTTTACTTGCTGAACACTAAAAATTTTAAAGTATAGCAATAAAACACACATTTAAAAACACTCTTCAGCTTTAAGCGGGCTAATTTTGCTAACAAAATTATGATGACTCAAAGTAAAAGTAGTAACTGTACGCAGATCAACCATCTTTGGAGAACAAAGCAACATCTCTTACCTGGGACTAAAGATGAGCTAGATGTTGGCCCGTCATACCTTTAGCTGTGGCCATGAGCCTAGTTTCCTACATTTTATTTAGGTACGTAAAGCCACTTTCTCCTCACAAATCTTCCTGGCGCTACGTGTGTCCACAGAAGAGGGGAGAAACAGAGTCACAATGCATGTAAACAAGACTCAACAGCTGAAGGCTTCCCTCCAGAGCCTGTTCTGATTGGCAGATGTGCTATGACCAGTCTGCACAGCTGGAATGCAGCCACTCAGGAAGTGAATGGCTTGAAGTTCTCCTTCACTCTTGGTTAAAACAGGAAATTCTACACTCGTTTTTATACTTTCTGTTCTAACAAGATACAAATGGCCTGTCCACAGTACTTCTACATTAAATTAATAATCAAAATTCAAGAACTTGATAATCTCTTAGAGAACATTTTAAACACTTCTGCCCAAACATAGTGTCAGATGTGATCCATTCCTATGTAAATATGTGTAAACAGTGTTTATAACACGCTACACTTAAGACTCATATACTGGATAATTTGAGGGTAAGGGCAAATTATTCATTACTCATTATATTGCCCATCCCCCACCTCCTGACAAGGGAGAACAAATTAAAACATATGTTCTTGACTTGATCCTTTTCTCAAAGTATATAAATAATTGGATTTCACATTTTGCCATGTCAGCTTTTACCTTTAATACATATAAATATGTAGTGTGCATATGTTGTATCTCTGTGTCCACACATATTTTTATATGCTTATTTTAAACAAAATGGGTTTCATGACAGATAAGAAAACTGTGCAATTGTTAAGATATGCATTGGTACTAATGCTGAATTTCTGGCAAATAATAAATGGTTATTATTTTGAACCAACAGTCAAGACTGAACAAAATTAAGTGCCAATGGCTTTAGGATCAAGCTTTGGATCTTGCCAACAACAATAAAACATATGTATATTTCATTGCCCCATTTTTGGATGGGGTTGGATGTTTTCTTCTTGTGGAGTTTAACCAGTATTTTGTATATCCTGGATATCAACCCCTTGTCAGATGTGTATTCGGTGAATATCCTTTCCCATTCTGTAGACTGTCTTTGTATTTTGGTCACTGTTTCTTTGGAGGTGCAGAAGCTTCTTAGTTTAAGATAGTCCCATTTATCTATCTCTGTTTTCACTTGCTCGGCCAGTGGCGTGGCATCTTTGAAGATACCATTAGCTTCAATGTCATGGAGGGTTTTGCCAACTTTATCTTCAATGTACCTTATGGTTTCTGGTCTGATGTTGAGGTCTTTAATCCATTTTGATCTTACTTTTGTACATGGTGTTAGGCAGAGTTCTGAGCCTATTTTTTTGCATGTAGCCGTCCAGTGATGCCAACACAATTTATTAAAGAGGCTTTCCTTACTCCACTTCACATTACTTGCACCTTTATCAAAGATTAGATGAGCATATGATTCGGATTTTTTCTTTCTCAAAGAAGAAATCCGAATGGCAAAAAAGCACATGAGAAAATGCTCTACATCATTAATCATCAGGGAGATGCAGATCAAACCCACAATGAGATACCATCTCACACCTCAGAGACTGGCCCACATTCAAAAGAACAAAAGCAACCGATGCTGGCGTGGATGTGGCGAGAAAGGGACACTCCTTCACTGTTGGTGGGAATGTCCACTGGTTCAGCCCTTCTGGAAAACAGTATGGACGATTCTCAAAAAATTAGAAATTGAGCTCCCATTTGACCCAGCAATACCACACTCCTGGGAATATATCCCAGAGAGGCAAAAATGTATAGTCGAAGTGACATCTGCACTTGTTTGTTCATTGCAGCACTCTTTACAATAGCCAGAAACTGGAAGAAACCTGAATGCCCAAGAACAGATGACTGGTTAAAGAAACTTTGGTACATCTACACAATGGAGTACTATGTAACTCTTAGAAAAGATGAAGTCATGAAATTTACATACAAGTGGTACAATATGGAAAGTATCATGCTAAGCGAAATGAGTCAGAAAGAGAGGGATAGACATAGAAAGATTGCATTCATCTGGGGGATATAAAGTAACAAAGTATGAGATTAATACCCAAGAATAGCTGAGATCAGCACCAGGAGGATTACTCCATAACTTAGAGGCCAGCCGGGTATCCTAGAGGAAAGGGCTGTTCAGATAGAGAAGGGAGCACCAAATAAAGGATGTTTGGAGGATCCTCCCAGGAGGGGAGATGCATGTCGAAAGTAGACTATGGACTGAACATGTTTGCCACTCAATGCCTCTTTTGCAGACCACAACACCCAAAAGGAGAGAGAGAACACAGGGGATTGCCCTGCCACAGAGACAGGGGGGATGGGGGGATGGGGGTGGGAGGGATATTATCCATGGTGGTGGAAAATGGGCACTGGTGGAGGGATGGGTATCTGATCATTGTATAATTGAAACCAAAGCACAAAAATTTGTAAATCTACAACTTTAAAAAAAATAAAATAAAATAAAGGGGGGAAAAAAAAAGAGGCTTGTCAAATAAAATGATAATTACAAAAAAAAAAACATATGTATAAAATCCGTTTAAGAAAAATGAGAACAGATCAACAAGGAACTATCATCTTGACTATATATAGGGCTTTAAGTTTATGGATTTCATTTATTTCAAATACTCTTGCACATATATCAATATTTTTTCATTGTTAACATTTTTAATAACTAGGAGAGTATATATTTATAAAGGCTTCTTCAATCTTTACATATTTAAAAATTATGTAAATACTTACTAGCTCAAAGTCTCATCATTTCTCTGTTTTTGATTTTTTTGTTTCTTTTCCTTTTTTTTTTTCCTCTGGGGGGAGGTGTTGGGTTTCACCCAACAGTGCTCATAACTTATTCATGGCTCTGCACTTAGTAATCACTAAGGACAGACTCAGGAGCCATATGGGATCAAACCCAAGTTAACCGTGTGCAAGGCAAGCACCTTACCAGCTGTGCTATCTCTCTGCCCTTAGTCTCACCATTTCTAAAAAGAAAGACGGTTTTAAATATAGGAATGATCTAACCCTAAAATATATTTGGTGGGGCCATAATATAGCAAGTAAAGCACATCCCTGCATGTGACCAACCTAGGTTTGATCCCTGCACCACACTTGGTTCCCCCAATCACTACCAGGAACAATCCTTGAACAAATGAACCAGAAGTAAGCCCTGAGCACAGCTGAAGTGGCTCCTCACTCCCACCCAAATTGTTTTAATAAAAAATAAATAAAATAGAGGCTGGAGCCATAGCACAGCGGGTAGGGTGTTTGCTTTGCACGCGGTTGACCCGGGTTCAATTCCCAGGATCCCATATGGTCCCCTGAGCACCACCAGGAA